CTGGGTCATTCTGCAGGCACCCACTGCCAGCCCTGGCTCGGCTCCCAGCAGTGCTGCCCACACTCACAGTCAGAAAGGGGACCTAGAGCACCTTCTTGCCAGGGCAATGACAGTGTGTGTGCCCAGGGAGGCCCCACGGCTCCCAGGTGGGAGGCARGGGCCAGGAAGGATCCTTGTCCAGCCAATACCCCGTCCCACTAGAGCAGAGCACTGCCCAAAGACCTTCGGATCTGGCTTGGGTACCCAGAAACTCCTCTCCCCATTCCCCACGCCCAGGGATGCCACTGACAGAGCTGGCCCCCAGCACGGTAAATATTCCAGCCCCAGTCCGGTGACCTTTGGATGCCTGGGAAGAGCTACTGCTCCCAGCTGCCCCCTMCCTCCGTGCGGGAGGAGGGCAGCGAGACACAGATCCTCGCTGGGGCTCCCATGTCCATTGCACAGAGCCGGCCTCAGCCTGCTCAGCAGCGAGACGCCCGAGGGAGCCAAGCCCTGAGCTGCAGGGCCCGGGGAGGGGCAGCACAGGGGCCTGGCTCGCCGCGGGCAGGAGGGCACAGGCTCTGCCCGAGGACAGCGCCTGGTGCCAGCAGCACCCGCAGCCCCTCATTCACTGACCCCACAGCGGGGACGTGGCGAGAGCAGCGCCGTGGCGAGCGCGAGGCTGCGTGGGGGGCACCGCATGGGCCCCAGGCCCAGCCTCCTGCGTGGGTGGCCAGCCGGGCAGGGCTGCCAGCCCCTGCGAGGGGCCGAGCGGCAGCTCCTGCTCCCACCGCGCAGCAGGGTGACTCAGCAGCGCACGTGACGGCCCCAGGGCTGCCGCCGGCCTGCCCCGAGAGGTGGCACTTCCCCAAGCCCAGCTCCCATCACCACGCAGGAGTGGGACATCAGGCCCAGCACCTCGGCACCTCCTCCCCAGGGCGACAGCAGCATGTGCCAGGGGCCTGATGCCAACCTGGAGCGAGCGGAGCAAGACTTGGGCTCCGGCGAAGCGGGAGGGAAAGGGCTCGAGGGAGCAGTGGCGCTCGAGTGTCCATCGATGGCACAGAGCAAGCCACGAGCTGGGGAGCAGGCGGGAAGGCAGCCGCCCCGGTACCCCCACATGAGGGCACAGGGCAGCCCGCGTGGGCTGGACCTGCGCCCGCAACAGGCCGCGGCAGCAGAGAGCACTGCGCCCGGGGGAGCAAGTCCGGCGGGGCAGGGACAGTCCTGCAGCACRGCCCCCGTTCAGGCCTGCACGGGGGCACGTGGGGACGGAGCTCGCTCTGAGCAGCGCGGAGCGGCACAAGGAGCTCAGCTGCAGCAGAGCAGGGGGAGCCAAAGCAGCCCGCAGGCCTGGCTGGCACTGGGGTAACCTCGAGCACCAGGGCTGCAGGGAGCCCTCAGCCTCCCGGGGAGAAGCCACACGAGAGCTGCAAGTCCCAACATCGGCACCTTCCAGCCTGCCCATCACAGCACCCCCTCGCACGGCCCCGCTCCGCGGCCCCAGGCAGCTCCGGAGCCGGACAGGCCGCCCTCGCAGCACGAGCTGCCGGGGGCCCAGCCCGGACCAGGCCAACCTTGGCTCCTGCACCCTCTCCCCGAGGCCTGGCCTCCTCCCCACCACCCTWGAGCCGTGGGGCAGGGCTCCCAGGCGCCCCACCAGCGCCAGGCACCCGTGGGTGACAGGAGCAGCCAAGGGGAGCAAGGAGGGAGCCCCACACGCCGCGTGGCCCCGCAGAGCATCCCTGCCCGCGAGCCCCACGAGGGCAGGAGACCCACAGGCCGCGCAGGCCCAGCCCTGCTCGCGGGGAGGGCGCCGCGGCCGGCGCGCGGGTCACGAGGCAGCGCGCCCCGTGCCGCCCACACGGGCCGGCCGTGACCGAGCCGCCCGCGGGAGAACCGGCCCGGCTGGGCCCCTGGGAGGGGAGCGGGAGGCCCGCGGAGGCGGCGGCCGCGCTCACCCCCTGCGGGTCCTTCACGAAGTAGCTGCCGCTGGAGCCCTGCGAGATGCGCTCGGGGAAGATGCCGCGCTCGCTGGCCAGCTCGGCGCGCCGCACCACCTCGGCGAAC